CGCCTCACGTAGACCAAAGGAATCTAATTTGTCTGCGAGAAAAGTCGTGGAAGTCGAGTCGAACAAAGGGGCACCGCGATCGAATTCCGCGTTTCGATCGCCCACGGTGGTCTTTCCCCCCCCCCCCTCTCTCTCTCTCTCTCTCTCTCTTGGAAAAGAAAGAGGAAAAGTTAGAGAGTAACCAGAGAGGAAAAAAGAGATAGAGAATACTAGAGAGAAGTATAGAGAGATAAATTAGAGAGAGATGGGATTTCCTACGAGTAAGTTGCGAACTTTTATGCAATTATTTTACGCGATTTTTGAAATCGAGCCTAAGCAAAAATTTGTCCAACGAGTTCGTTACTTTCAATGAGTGAGTATATGGAATCTATATAAAATCTCCGTGAATGAATAAAAATCCACAAACAACGTTCCTATTTTTAAATAATACCGAGTGCTGAGGACAGAGGCACTTCATCGAGTTGACAAATAAAAACCTGTCCATCCGTCCACATTGTTTTCCGGTATTTTCTCCCCCCCCTCTCCCCCTTCTATTAAGTCGCAGTTGAAGGAAACAGGAAGAGATACTATACCGTTGTGCTCTTTTTTCTCCCCGTGTCTCTCAAAAGAGAGACGGGTCGCAAGGTCCCGCGGCACTCGTCACTCGAAGGGTTTAAATATAATCCGCAAAGCGGAGGCAGTTGAAGCGAGTAGACACGGGGCTCGCAAGTGTACGCGTTTAAAGATTACGTGGATGAACGTCGGGTGCCCCTTTAGGGCTTCGCAGCGAATCGCGCCGCCACCAGCGGCTCCGGCTCGAAAAGTTTCTCCTCTTCGTCTTCGCCGTTCATCGTCGTCGTCGTCGTCGTCGTCGTCGTCGTTGAGTCTCGACGAAAACTTGTGCCAACCTTCTCGACGATGTCCATTAGAAGTTGAGCGAGTTTAGCGCGCCACTTAACGCGAGTGTAATATCGTTTCGAAAACCGTTCCCTGCCGCCTCTGTGACGACTCTCGAAAGATTGGGCGACAAAGCCGACGGGGATGGCCGCGAGTGGTCTCGGCCCATCGACTTTCCGCGGCGCGGCACGGCACGGCACGCCGAGCGTCGATCAGCCCCCGGCTGCACTTAATCTTCGATTCTCTTTCAATTACCCGGCTTCGAGCGGTCGGGCGAAGAATCCTCTGTAACGCCTAACGAGACGAAGCACTTCAAATATATGCACACGTACGGCGAAAAAATTCGAAAACTCCTCGAATCGTGATTCGAAGGTTGGTTCAAAGTTTCGATTGATTTCTCGGCCGATTTCTCGACGAACAACGACTGTCTGACCGGTGAATAGATTCGTTCGCGCGATTCATTGCGTATCAACTCTTTCTCTTCTGCTCGCGATCGACGTTCGCGTATCTACGAAAAAAAGGGCGCCACGATCGATACTCGTTCGATCGCCCGAAGGAACGGGGGGAAATGTTCGAAGAGAGCACGCGCAAAGACGAGAGAAACGAGAGAAATCGGCCGAAGCTAGTAACGAAGAACAAAAATAGAACGGAGAGGCAGGATCAAAGAGATCGGGAGAGAGGCGAGCTGAGGAGAATACGGCTTAAAAATGATTTAATTTCAAGCTTCGTTTATCTCTCGGTCTTTATTCCGCTTCTCCTTTCGCCGAACGGATTCACAGACGAGGCGGATGAAAATCTACGCTATAGTGGGTAGAGAGTTTCGATAAAACGGAGAACGTCGGTATCGTCGTGAAACTCTTAGGAGTTTGCGCGCGAACGTTGAACAAATTCTGTCGACAAACGTTCGCACATAACCGCGGCACACGCGTTTCATTTCGCGAGAGGAAGACGAAGGGTCTTTGCCCGACTGGCCCGCGGCGATTCTCGTTTCCCTCTCACTTGGAGGAAACCCCGATGACGCGTACTGTCACTCGACTTCCGCTAACCTAATTCTTTCGCCCCTGCTAAACCGGTTCCACTCAAACCTCAAGGAAATCACACGAGCGATAATAAATTGTATGGTAAATTTAACACGTATGTAGCTATTGAAATGTGATATTCTGAACACTCGGACAAACATGTGACCAGTAAAAATTTGGATATCACAATTAGTTTAAAAATAAATCACCTGTCTGTTTTTGCAGCTCGATAAAATTATTATTATCCGCGATTCTTATTAGCCTGTTAAAGAACTCTATTCACAATTTTTTTTTACGTTTCCCAATTTCATGCAAGACGCTCTCGTTTTTAACTTCTCGTTGTTCTCGATCTTTCTCGAGCTAGCTGTCATAAAATTATTTATTTCTTACTATTAAAATGTTCGTTCGATTTCCAATTGGAACCCACTTCATTTGATTCGTTTGATTGTGAGAACTTTCGTGATTTTCGTGTTTAAACGCGTGAACGACTTTAGTCGCTGGTCAAAGTGGAAGGGTTAAATCGCTGTTGTTGTCGCTTATTCCGACACGACTTTCCGTCCCGATAATTCGAAACTATACGAACGGTAGAAGAGAGAGAAAGAGAGAGAAAAAGAAGAAAGATACAGCTCGGTTGGATCTACCGAGTTGTTACGATCTCTCGCTAGATAGAACTGGAGGAACACGTGCCGTGTCGTTTCAGGTGAAACCAGACACGGAAATGGCGTTCGAGCAGCACGGACTCTACTCGGTGATATCCAGTTTACGACTGCAATTGGAACCGGATCACATCGCCGGCGACAAAATAAACGTCAGGTAATTCCGTCCTGGACATACTCCTTCCCAAACCATCACCACCATCACCATCATCACCATCACCACTCCACCAACACTCACCACCATATCGATCGTCATATCATCACCGTCACTCCACCATCATTGGCATCGCTATCATCGTCAACAGACACCCCCGACGATTAATGCGTCTCTATAAATTTTGTCGAAGATGCGAGGCGACCATGGAATTGGATTCCAACCCGGATGCGCCACTCCTCGAGACGCGCACGACGGAAGTTTTCGGTAAGCTTTTCCCTTGTTACCATTATACCAGCGCGAGAATTTTCTATTTTCACGTGTGCATGTGACAAACACAGTGTCGAGTTCTACAAACGTTGTCAGTATAAAAGAGTCATTTAGATTCGCGAATATTAGAGATTTATCGTCTCCTGGATATTTAAGTTTCGCGTTCCAATGCGGTTGATTTCTCTACTCGCTCGAAGGAACGAAATCTTTACGTTAGAAGGTCTTCCTTTCCTTGAATGTTTCAATTCCTTCAGTACAATTATCTTAGTTATCTACGATAGAATCGAACTGGAAAAAATGAATTCAAGGAGGTTTTGTTATCGGATTTTTCCCTTGTTTCAGCTTCTTTTCTGCCTTTTTCCTAAGATATTCGAGCAGCACGTCAGTACTTTTTGTCAAGTTGTGAACCTGAAAAATTTCAAATGGGCAAATAAGCTTCGGATAATATCGAAATATAAGCTGGCTGCGACGACTCGCGTCGAAACAACCGCTCGTTGAAAAACGAGACGGCCTTATATTGAGAAATGATATTATTACAAGTTGTCTATTTTCCATCGGGACGATGGTTCCGTAACTGCAAAACGCGAATAATTATTGACTCACTCTCGTGTGCTTTAATTACAAGATTACCGATAAATCGAACTGCAGTAATTTTATCCTTTATCTGTGATTATATACCCGAGGTATAATAAAATTCTATGACAGGATTAAATTGCTTTTTAAACGATAATATTATACGTAATAACGAAACGGACGTTTGTGATTGTTAAACTTTATAGAAATATTTCGTTATTCGACCAACCTCTTTATCTCCGGATTCTTTAATCTCTGAATTAAAAGACGGATTAAGAAAACAATTGAATAGAAAGATTTCGTTTCGACATTAATACAAACAGCGAACGCACACGCAGCGGTATATGAGCCTCTTATCACGTCAAACGTGAAACGAAAAGCCACGCTCTTAATAATTATTAAAGAATTTACTAAAATCACCGCCAAGTTCCCCGAAATAGCGTATGAAAAGACGCCCTCTCTCTCTCTCTTTCTCTCTCTTTCTCTCTCTCTGCCCTCTTATAATATTTACCAGATGAACTCAATACTTCCTGCTCACCTTTCTTCCCTTTTCTTTTCTTTTTTTTTAGTGATTCTTTCATGTATAAACCGAATACGCGGAGCTTTCACCTCATCGATTTTTCCAGAATAGCTGTTCGTTACCTGTCGTATTATTGATAGAATATTATTAACAAGCAAACAGATTTCCATGTCAAAATACAACGTGAAATGCATAAAAAGTGTATAAAAAGGATGGAACACCTTTTCTAACTCCTTAATAAGAATAAAGTGAAATTCAATTGAATCGTAATCAAAGCGAGAGATCTTATTAATAGAAACGAGCGATTTTTAATGAGAGTAAATAAAAATCGAACCGACAGCTAACGAGTAATTAATAAAACTTTGTTTAGTTATAAACATATAAAAGTATAAAAGCGCAGTGAAATTTTTCAATTGAACTCGATCGAATTGCAACGATATTACAATGA